ATGACTTTTGAATGATGTTATGAAATGCCCTATAATGGAATGCCTCAAGGACAGCGAGTCTGCTATGAACTGGCAGAGACTTTGTTACTCTATCTGCCAGACTAGAGACAAAGGTAGGATTGTTAAGCTGCAATAGGTTATGTGCTTAGGTGGAAACACTTTGGATGATGAGTTGATTAAATCTAGGAAAACTAGTTCCTTTGACTCCTCTCTGGGTAAGGAAAAGTGGAAAAGCCCCCAACAAGACAGAGAGAGAGAGAGATAAAAAAGTAGGGATTAAAAAAAAAAAAAGACTCTCAAGAAGAACAAAGGACCAGACTTTTGGAGGAAAAAACCCCTTTAAGGCAGGAAGGAAGAAGGTTGAGGCATGCTTTCATAGGAAAGAGGTCCTGTTTAAACACAGGACCAGCCAAGAGCAAAGAAAGCTGACCTGGAACAAAGAGATGGACATAATACTTGATTTAGAACAGATGCCATGAGCTCTAGGAGAAAGATCCTAGACATTCCAAAAGACCCAGAGCAGAGAGGAAACTGAGGCTGAGAATTACTGGTAGGGTTCATTACTTTGTCTGGATCTTTCATGCAATTGAAATAAAGAGTAATTATGTTTGTAAACCTATCTGTGCTTGTGCACTCACTTATAACAAGCCCCTGCAGAGGTGAACTGTAAACCAAGAGCTTCCACTATGATGGAGTACTGAAAAAGAGTGCTTGAGTAGCTGCAGTGTGTGTGGGCGGGGGTGGGGGAGGGCAGTGTTACTTCGCTTCTTGAGGACTGAAGCAGCAGGGTCCCATGAGCCTTCTTCTGTGAAGTCCTCTCCCTCCCTCCTCCAGCTTCTGCTTTGTGTCCTGAGAGAGCTCGCAGCCAGGTGGGTTTGGGAGGAACTGGGGTGGGGGGGAGCACTGTACAACAAAGGGATGTTTATGTGGCACAGCAAAGGGAGGGAGCTCATGCCTGTGACCCTCAGCCACTCATAGGTTGGACAGCCTGCTCTAGACCATGGTAGTAGTGTATCTTGATGAACACAGGGCAAAAGCAGGCCCAACCTAGGTCCACTGATATGCTCCAAAGCCCTAAGTTCAGTGGTGTGGCTGCTCTGAGCTTGCCCCCAGCACCTGCTCTCAAGTGCCTAGTCTTCAACAGGCCTAAGAGCAGGTGCTGGGGATGAGCTTGGAGCAGTATCACTAATGAACTTCTGGGTCTGAAATGCACTAGGGGACTCAGATGGGCAGAGTACACTCTGCCCTGTGCTCCCCTAGATACACTGCTGCTGCAGCACAGACATGCTCCAAAGGGCATTTAAGGGCACATGGGTCTAATAAAGGACATCCAACCTTCTGGCTCTGCATGCCAGATCCCGCACAGGGTTGGTCCATTTGGCCTTGTGCCACACACCAACCTAGCCTGGCCGCATGCTGCCCCAGTCCTGCCCCGATCTGGCCACACGGTGCTCACCTAATGGATCTGGCTGGCCCGCATAGCCCTTATGTGGCCACATGCCACAAGCCTACCAAATCCAGCTGCACGCCAGCACAATCTAAGAAGCAGGGCCACGTTATCCAGCCCATGGGGCTCCCCCTGGGTCTGAAAATCTGGTAGCACAGGAGTAACAATTAACTCTGAGACAGCTCCCCCAATGTCAAATTTCCAAATCTCTGGGGAATCCTAAAGGCCAGATGATACAGCTCCACAGACCACATCTGGCCTGTGGGCCAGGGCTTGAGCATCCCTTAGCTAATATTTTGCAGACCAAGCATAGGTGCCTTGAGTGTCCAGGAGAGGGAGCTTTACCAGGTCTGTGCGCACCTGGAAGAAGACTTCAATGGAGGAATGGAATTATGACATTTCATTATCTAATGTTATGTCTGTTAGTATAAGGGGAAGAAGAGAAAGCCAATGTTGTCATTTCTCTCCTCTAATTAAATTATATAATAATACTGCAACTTCTAATAGAACACAGAAAAAAACAAAATCCAAGAAAATGTTAGTTTTCCTTTGCACACACCTATCCTTTTCTCCCCAAATTGTTTTATGCATTAACTAATAGAACAATATTTCAAATTACCTATTGTGTGATACTGAATGGCCAGGAGTAGCATCAAAAAGTAGCAATGGACGGATCCTGCAATGCACTCGGATATTTCCTCTCAATTCCTGGTATTACAATATAAAAATATATTTAGTTAAACAATTAGATAATATCATATATGTAGATCCTTGATCTGCAAATATTTATGTTTTTAAGAATATACACTTGAGTTTTTAAGAGTGACGCCTGAGACACTGATTCTCACTCTCCATCCTGAAAAGATCCTCCTTAGAGCAATGCTCACAAGTAACACACTGGAAAGATATTCTTTATTAGAAACAATAGGGAATGGCTTGAAGCAAAATAGATGTGCCACAAGTTCAGTACACAGACAAAGGGTCTGATACATAAATAGAAGCACATTCATTAGTTTTGAGTCTAGGAAAATTATGCATTTAATTACCCGGGGATCTCAAGTATTCTCTTGTTACAGATACTTACAATCAAACTGTTATGAAGCACTCTTCTCTTCCGTTTTTCTTTCTCATATCTCTCAGTTACTTCTTGTAAAGACTGCTCAAGATCAAATGCTTTTGTCTGGAATGCTGGAAGAAGAAAAACATTAAAAAAATTCAAACTCTTTAGATGTACAAGTAAGATTTTTCAACAGTGCATAAACGAATTAAGACTTATAATCCTTTTGATTTCCAATGGGGCGTGAGTGCGAAACTCATAAACACCTTTTGAAAATCCCACCCTGCATCCTGTTGAGAATGGAGGCCTTTTCAGATTACAAACAATTCCCATGTTTAAAGACTGTACTATGAGGAGACGGTACAAATTTAAGATGATCCTCCAAAAATTACATTCTAGACATGGAAAATTATAACAGATGCATACATTTTCAAGTATAGAATCTAATTATTAGGGGGTTGTCTTAATTTCAGAGCCATCCTGGAATCAGGTAAATACAGCACTATGCACACACAACCTTGAAAATTTACTAGATGTGTAAAATAGTCAAGGATCATTCAGCTCTACCAGTCTAGTTAGATCAATGATCTTTGTCACCATGATTAAAATGTAGAGACCACCTTCCGTTTACGTCAGTAGATGTCAGAGATATTACGGTAATGTCCTTCAACAGGGAAAGATGATGATCTGGACTACTCCGGCTGGCTTTAGTACAGATTCACTCAGTGTTACCAGTAGTGTGTATTTCACTCCTGTAAGTGCTCAGAAGTCTGCAATAACAGGTTGCTAATGAATAAATTAGAAAGATGAAAGTGAGGGAGAGCCCTACAACAAACAAAACAATAACTCACTCTTGCCCTAACTGGTAATGAGTACATAGAAGAGTGAAAATTGTATGCAAGTGGCAATGATACATCTATGTGGTGAAGGGGTATCCTACTGCCATGGAAAATCTCTACCTGTTACAAAGGCAGAAGCTACGTGACTGCTTATTAAGCTGAGTACAATTGTTGAACAGCCAGGAGTTAACCATGCAACTCAATCACAGTGCTGATAAGTTCCTGTAAACAACTGACAGCTTACCATGTAAGATACCAGAGTATACCTCATTTCTAAGATTTCTTAGAAAGTTGATCTCTTGAACTCCCACATAAGATTTCCTCACACAAACTGAAGATGAGATAATAGATTATTATAAATTTTCCTCGTACGACTGCGCTGCAATCTAATCCAGTGGTTCTCAACTTTTTCAGATTCAAGGCACCCCTCGGAAAATGACAGCTGTATTTTTCATTCATGTTTAGACTACAGAAAGATATTAGAGCAATTCTTGTGTTGCAAAGAACTCAGAAAAACCACAGCAGGTCAGTGTTTTGAACACTATGGATTCCTATTTGAAATCTCTGAGTTTATCTTGAGAATCATGTGTATGTGTTTACACACCTAGATAAGAACATCACAACTGACATTTAGTGGGTCAGACCATCGGTCCATCTTGCCCAATATCCTGTCCCCCCTTGGTGCACTCATTTTAAACCTATGACCTAACTTCCATCCCTGCTATATTTTGATTTGTCCCAAGGAATCAATTCTTACTTACCCAGTGACCTCCCTTCTAAGGGAGGTTTATAGCGTTTCTTAGTGGGCACTGGCCCATGGTCCCTTAAGCAACAAATAGGCCTGTGGCACATAGTGGTAGGGTGACTGCTGAAACGGAGGGTGAAGTGGGTATGACCAGAGTTTTTTTCACTGTTCTCTTGCTTGCAGCCTCCAGCATTTAAAGTCTAGGAAGTTCTGATTCAGAGGCTGTACCTTTAACTCCCATGCTCAATAGCTACTGATGCCCTTTTTCTCCAAGAATTTGTCCAATCCCTTTTTGCATGTGGCTAAACGATCAGCTTCCACAGCATCTGCTGGCAACAAGTTCCACACTTTAATTACACGCTGTGTGAAAAAGAACTTCCTTCTGTTAGTTTTAAACTTACTGCCTCCTGGTTTCATTTTGTGACCCCTACTTCTTGTATTGTGAGACAGTAACTTATAAATCTCTATTTGATTTCTCTTTGCCATTTAGTATTTTGTAAACCCTTCTCATGTGCTAATAGTGCATGACCATCCCATACACCCTTAAAAAGATTTCACAGATCTCAGGAGGCCATGGCGTCTTGGTTGAGAATCACTGATCTAATTGCATAACACTAAACAGGTCAGGAGGTAAATGTGAAAAACCACTAAACCTTTACAGAAAGGAACCTAAGCATGAAATCACCACCCCCAGCAGTAGTGAGCTGTTCAGGGATGTAAAGAAACAGAAACCCAGGAATGAGGCCAATACTTGCATGCTTTTTAAAAAAGAAATGAATCAACTTTTAAGATGCCAGAAAGTCAAGTATGTGAATTAGACTACAGGCTGGAACTGAAACCTTTATGTCACATCTATCTACACTGGAACTTTCTGAAGGATCTTATTTTTGTTATTCTGAATCTGTTCCCCTTCGGGTATCAGCGTCAAGGTGCAAACAACAGAGAAGCTAATTGTTGGAGGGACACAAGTCTGGGAGCTGTGTTTTTTTTTACATCAGTAAGACTAGTAATACTGGTGCTGTTTGGGTAATCACTTGTGAGTAAATACTCTATAAGCCTATCACTGTGGGCAGCAAAGTTAGGAAGTAGCATTTTTTTAAAAGCTAGAATACAAACAATTTTAGGTACTGGGAGGCAATCTCTGCATTTGTGAGCTTCAGAGAGGCCTACTGCACATTACAAGCTCTGTTTAAAACACGCTTTCATTTAAAACAATGCTACTAATGCATTTTTGTTGTGATGGTGACTGTGATAACAAAAATCAATCTCTAGGCTTTCTAATTTGTGAAGAAGACAGTTGACTTGCTGGGATCCAAAGTAAAGTCTACATAAAACCACACTTGCCAAAGCATCCAATACAATTCCCTCCCCCAACAACAAAGCTCCTGTACCTAAGAACTGGTACTTAAGCTTTCCTCATGATCATTCCCAAGACAGAATAAATCACCACAGTTTTATGTCTCATGTTCTGCAAAGCTTTCAAGTTAGCAGAGGTAAACGTTTTGCATTGAAGCTCCATGAGATAAATTTTCTATCAGGCAAATTACTGCCTTTTTTGTCTGCAGGACTATTTTTTTGAACCTGAGCATTTGTTACCATAACAATATAGGTCTTTTTGAAACTGCTGCTAGTGTAAGCTGTGAACCACACCAAAAGTTGTTCATTGTTAATTATGTGCAGTAGGGTAATATCTGGGGCCTAACTTAGATTAGGACCCCGTTGTGTTATGCACTGTAGGAACACAGAATAAAGGACAGCCACTGACCCAAGGAGGTTACTCTCCAAGGTCTGGTCTACATTTCCAAGTTTTGCCAGCATGGCTATGCTGACTAAGAGTGTGTAAACAGATCACACCCCCTAGCTAATGGAGCTATGTTGGAAAAACCTCTTCAGCTGGATGCAGCTAAGGCAGTGAGGCTTAACATATCAGGCTCCACAGGCTGGATGAGTGGAAAGGGACCAGTCCACAGGCCAGATCTCATGGATGAGGTCAGTCCACAGATGTGACTGGACTGCACACCAACATGGCAGTGTGCTGGATCTCACCATGTGCTGGCCCAGCCCCATGTCAGCCTGCCCCCTATACCAGAATCAGCCTGCAGGGCTCCCCATGGGTCAGAAAATTTGGCAGGACAGTGGCAAACAACATTGCCATCACTCCCCTTGCCACCATATTCCCATAGGCCAGAAGACACAGCTCTGTGGGCCAGAAGTTGAACATTATGAGCTATGCCACAGGTACTCAATTCCCAGCTTGCAAGCCAGAGCTGGCCCCCAGCATTGTGTCATCCAGCCCGTGGGGCTCCCCGCCAACCCATAGGGAGCCCAGTGGGCCATGGTGGCGCTGCATGCTAGATTGGGCAGGCAAGGTGGCGCAGGGCCCAACAGCCTGATCCCAGCATGCAGGGCCAGACGGAGGTAGCATGAGTCCCTGGGGCCCAATCCCAGCACGCAGGGCTGAGTGCAGGCAGAATGGGGCCTCATCATGGTGTGTGAGACTGGGTGGAGGCAGTGGGGTCTGCTCCCAGACCGCATGTCCAAGTGGAGGTGGTGCAGGAACCAATCCCAGCCCGTGGGGCTGGGCAGAGGCAGCACAGGGCCTGATGCCAGGCAAAGGTGGTGTAAGACCCCAGTGTCCAATCCTGATCTATGGGTTGAGTGCAGGAGACACAGGACTCCAGGGCCCAATCCAAGTACACGGGGGCAGCACAAGGCCCAATTCCAGTGTTCAGGGGCCAGCCAAGGCCATGTGGGCTTCAATCCAGGCATGTGGGCCTGATCTGGCCCACAAACCAGACTTGCACCATTTGCCTGGGCTGTGGGGCCACAAGGCTGTGCACCACTCAGGTATGAATCAGAAAATTAGGATTAGAAGGAACCTCAGGAGGTCATCTAGTGAAGTCCAACCCCTGCTCGCAGCAGGACCATCCCTAACTAGATCATCCGTGCAAAGGCTTTGTCTAGCCAGGTCTTAAAAACCCCTAAGGATCGTGATCCTACCATCTCTCGGTAACTTATTCAGTGCTTTACTATGCTCCTTATGAGAAAGTTTTCCTAATATCTAACTTCAACTTACCTTGCTGGAACGTGAGATCATTGCGCCTTGTTCTGTCATCTGCCACCACTAAGAGCACTGTAGCTCCATCCTCTTTTGAACCCCACTTCAGGTAGCTGAACGCTGCTATTAAATCCCTTCTTAGTCTTCTCTTCTCCAGACTAAATAAGTCCAGTTCCCTCAGCCTCTCCTCACAAGTCATGTGCCCCAGCTACCTAACCATTTTCATTGCCCTCCACTGGACTCTCTCCAATGTATCCACATCTTTTCTATAGTGGGGGGGCCCAAAACTGGACACAATATGCCATATATGGCCTCACCAGTGCCAAATAGAGGGGAATAATTGTTTCCCTTGATCTACTGGCAACACTCCTACCAATGCAGCCCAGTATGCCATTAGCCTTCTTGGCAATGAGGACACACTGCTTATTGTCCATTTCTGCAGAGCTGTTGCCTAGCTGGTCAGTCCCCAGCCTGTACTGGTGGATGGGA